TTTTTTTTTTTTTTTTTTTTTTTTTTTTTTTTTGTACTGGGGATTGAACTCAGGACCTTGTGCTTACAAGGCAGGCAGCAGAACCACTGAGCTAAATCTCCGGCCCTTTATACCTTATTTTTTATTTGGAAGTGCTATTCTTGTTTTAAACAAAGGAGAAAATAAACCCTGTTCTACAGAAAAAATTGTGATAGCAGTCTGGGTGTGTAGAGAAGATGGTTGAGATTGGGACCTTTAATCAGTTTTAGAGAAAATTAATAGTTTAATCAGATTTATTTCACCTTTGTGAGCCAAATATTTTAGGAACTAATGAGTTTATTAAAAAAGAAGTTGGAGTTTTAATCTGGCAGACAGAGATAGAGAAATGTATATTGTATGTATTAAGAACAGTATTGCTGGGCCGGGCGTGGTGGCGCATGCCTGTAATCCCAGCACTCGGGAGGCTGAGGCAGAAGGATCGAAGTGAGTTCGAGACCAGCCTGGGCTACATAGTGAGTTCTAGGTCAGCCTTAACTACGTAGTGAGACCCTGTCTCAAAAAACCAAACAAAAAAAGAACAGTACTAAAGAGAAATAGTCTATTTGAAAAATTAAGAATGGAGACTGTATAAAGTTTTGCAGAATATCTAGGAAGGAGTAAGTTGTAAGAGAAGGATGAGAAAAAATTAAATACACACATATACATATATATTTTTCCCCTTCCCCATTTGTGTTACTGAGAATTAAACCCAGGGGTACTAGTATTCTGCTAGTCAGTTCTACCAGTGAGTTACATTCAGGCCTTTTATTTAAAATTTTATTTTGAGACAGAATCTCACAAAGTCACTCAGTCTCAAACTTGTGATCCTCCTTCCTTACCTCTTTGAATAGTTGAATTGTAGGTGTATGCTTCTAAGCATGGGTATACCTGTTAACCTGTTTTTTGGTTCTGGGGATTGACATCAGGACCCTGTGTTTGCAAGGCAGGTGGCGGTACCACTGAGCCAAATCCCCAGCCCACCTGTATCTTTTTTGTTTTTTTTTCAATTAAGTTTATTAGTACATTTTAGGTATACAGTAGAGTTACATTCATCATTGAGAACTTGTACCTTTACACCTTTACATGGTATATCTAGGTTCTTTTTTTATTTGGAAAAGCATTTTAGTTGAGAATTTTTATAAGACATTTCACTTGGCAGCTTTGGAGTTTCTTGTAGCAAGAAATAAAAGAATATATAATTGTCGTATGGTTTGTATAGGGGACTGGTTCAGGACCATGTTCCCTACATTACCTCCTCGTGTGAATACTCTTTTCCCGAGTATCCATCGGATTGCCTTAATTTTATTTAGGGTTTATATAGGGGACTGGTTCAGGACTGTGTTCCCTACATTACTTCCAAGTGTTTTTAACTCTAACGTAACATGATGTAGGATCCAGATTTGGTGGCACACATCTGTAATACCAGCACTCAGGAAGCTGAGGCAAGAGAATCTTGAGTTCCAGACTAGCTTGAACTACATGAGACACTTTCCCCAAAAAATTCAAAACAAAAAACTTACTGTTTACATATAATCTATGCACATTCCTCTGTATATTTCACATCATCTCTAGATTACTTACAATACTTTATACAGTACAAATGATTTGTAAATCACTACATTTTCAGGGAATGACAAGACAAATAGTTTTTCTCATAATTTTCTGCCTGTGTTTGATCTGCGGACAGGGAACCTGCAGGTATGAGGGGCAGGGAGTGACTGTATTGTCTAGATTCAGAAATGAATAAAGCTCAGGAGAAGTAATAAGCCTGAATGTTGAACCGTAATAATGCGTTCTGGGCTCTTCAAGTTAGCCAGCCATTGTGCTGCTAATACACCACATGTAATAAAATGTTGTTCCTATTTTTTCACATAAATGCTAAGAATAGATTTTGGAGCTGAAGAGCAATGCTTTTGGAAACTTATCTTTTCTTCATTGTTAGTGATAAGGCAGGACCTTTGAGTGAATATAACTATAGGAAATGAATTCTTTGCTATCTTCCTGTTGAACAGAGGCAACGTAGTTCCATTTAAAATAACACTTTCTAGCCAGGTGTGGTGGCGCATGCCGGTAATCCCAGCACTCCAGAGGCTGAGGTAGGAGGATCGCTGTGAGTTCGAGATAAGCCTGGGCTACATAGTGAGTTCTAGGTCAGTCTACTTCTAGGTTGAGGTATAGTGACAGAGGTAGATGAGAATGTATAGTTAGGATGGAGGATCATAAATCTGAACCCAGCCAAGGCAGTTTAGTGACTTAAAGAGGCGGGGGGCTGGCAGTGTAGCTCTGGGTTCAATTCCCAAAACTCCCCCCAAAAAATTTTTTTGAGAAGCTATAGTACACCAGCTAGAAATAATTACAAATACAGTACTGTATAGTTCTATGGTTGAAAAAAAAAATCCTCGCTGGGCGTGGTGGCGCACTCCTGTAATCCCAGCACACGGGAGGCTGAGGCAGGAGGATTGCTGTGAGTTCGAGACCAAAAAAAAAAAAAAAATTCTCAATTTTTAGTAAAAATGTATATTACTGGTATGGGAGGTAGAACCCAGGGCTTTCACACTGAGCTACCTTTTTACTTTTTAAATTTTTTACACAGAGTCTTGTTGTTAAGTTGGCAGGCTGGGTTGAAACTGCCATTTTCCTTTAGTCTCCCAAAGTGTTGGGTTTGCAGGTGAGTGCAACCCTGTCCTGGTTCCTCATTTATTTTTAATTAGGAAGAAAGGGAGAAAAGGGAAGAGAGAAGGAAGAGAAAAAGGAGGGAAGGAAGAAAAAGAAGTTTTGGATTTTTTTGGGCTTTTTGAGACAGGGTCTCGCTATGTAGTTGAGACTGACCTGGAACTCACTGTGTAGCTAGCCCACTGTGGTCTCTAACTCATGGTGATCCTCCTGCCTCAGCCTCCCAGGTGCTGGGATTACAGGCATGTGCCACCATGCCCAGCTAGTTTAAATTTTTTTTAACAAATCAGTTTACAAGAATTCACCACAACTAAAACATGGGTTTTATTTTTTATTGGTACATTTTAGATATACAGGACAGTTACATTCATCATTGAGATCTTGTGAAAACATGAGTTTTAATCACGTTTTGTAGATACTGTGGTTCTTTAATATAAATATTGATATGACACATGAATATAATACTGTATCAAGTTTTCAACAGAGATGAGGTTTTCAATGTGGTTCTGCATTTTTCTTTTGTTTTGGTTTTTACTTAGTTCTTTGATAGAAATCATTACCCCGTGCAGTGGCAGTGTACATCCTGTCTTGTCCTGCTACTGGTCATCGTTTATTACTGTTCTGGTTACGTGCCAACCAGGATTTCTGTAAGGCAGCACCTACGCAAAATGGTCATTTTTTTGTTTGTTTGTTTAATGACATTTTTCTAGGATGATAAAATTTTGATTATAGCATTCTAAATCTTACCTGTAAAATAGAGATTGGATATTTCACATTATACAAATGCAGTGGAAGACCTTGGTTCTATTCATTCTTTTCCTGAACCACGGTGTAATTGTGCATACACTTTTTTCTTCCAAAACTCATGCTGTTTTTGATGTTTGTACTGAGTTTCCACTCACTAAGTCATGGTCCTTAAATCTTAGGGTTTTGAATTTACTTAAGAATTATACCAAAGGCTGCTCAGATGCTTAGCCTAACTGAATCCAATATTTGAAACATGAGTCTTACTTTATTCCCCACATGGAGTCATCCTAAAAAATCTTTCTTCCTAATACCACCACTTGGATTCTTAACTTTATGCCTTGGTTACATCTCTTAACTGAGCTCTGATTTTCTCATTTGTAAAACAAGATGGTTGTGCTGAAGCTGGTTGAATTAATTATTTATAAATGACTTCAAAGTGTTACAAAAGTTTTGTTTTCTTACCTGACACCGGTTTGAATCAACCTCTGCCTTCCTACCCCTACCTTCTGGCACTGGGGATTGAACCCAAGACCCAGGCTGGCTCAAACTTGCGTTTCTCTTGCCTCAGCCTCTTGACTGCTGGGATGGTAGGCATCTGCCACCATGTTTGTCTCTGTATGAATATTGTATTTTGTTTTTTTGGTACCAGGGATCGAACTTGGGACCTTGCACTTGTGAGGCAGGTGGTGGAACCGCTGAGCTAAATCCCCAGCCCTGTATGAGTATTTTAAAGCAAGAAGTACTTTATAGTAAGGAAATTTTTAGATTAGTTTCAAAATTAATGTTCAATTTTTTTAACGAATTCTGTTTTTTCCCCTAAAGCTCCTAAAAGACGACGGCCTGCACGTTCAATATTTGATGGATTCCGAGATTTTCAAACTGAAACTAGTAGGTATCTGTGGATTTTTTCCCTTCCTCCCTAATAAAAAGGGAAAAATAATTAATATTAGGCCTTTGAGGGGCCACCTTATTTAAAAAATGAAATTAGGCAGTCATTCTGTGGTCTCTGTGTGATTGCCTCCTCCAGAGCTGAACTGTTCCAGACTCTAACCTATTTGGTTCTAAAGGAATGATAATGGAGCTGGAGAGCATGTAAGCAATCTGGTAATTTATCAGGGTGATCAGCTTCTGAATGGGCACCATTTTAAGGCTGACTCTAATCAAATAAACTACTTTCCCAGGATCTTATCAATGGAAGGAATGACTAATGAAAGTAGTTATATATTGAGACTGAAGGAAAAGCCACACAACTCAAAGCAGCCATTATTGATCAAAAATCCTAAAAGAAAAAACATTTTTAAATTACAAAAAAAATTCTTAGAAAATATAAAAATAAATGTAAAATATGGGGTCCTCTAGTATTGAGGTGCCCACATTCCAACACTAAATTAACTCTTATCCTGTGCCCTGACACCAAGGTGTTGAGAAGCAGACGTGGGGTATGTGTATTCCAAAATCTGTACCCCAATATTGAGGTGTCCACACCCCCATATTAAGTCTAACAGAGTCCCACTTGGGTTACCTGGGCCCTGGGATTCACCTTTTGTGGACTAAGTTAGGAGAATCTTGGCTTTATACTTTTAGAGGATTTAGTACTGAGTTAACAATAGAATCCTAAAGAAAGTACAGTTCATGTTTTTAGAGAATATATGATAAACTCTTGGACTGTGCTTGATTTTGTAGTCGATTTATATAGAGGCATGGATAGGTCTTACAACTTTGAGAAGCTGAAGGGAAACCTGAGTTGACCGAGGTCACTAAGGGATCTGTGCTCTTCCAGCGAAAGTTTTATTTAGTTTGCTGTGTAGCCCAAGCTGATCTCAAGCTTGAGATTGAAAATTGTCAGCCTCCAGAGCGCTGGAAGTACTATATGGCTATATATTTATTTTAATTGGACTTATTCCTGGAATTTATATTTTTTACAGTAAAAAGCCACAATACTTGGCTTTACTGCTAGACTCTTTAAAGACTGAGAATGTAGTTAGAAACAACAGACAAATCAAGATAACTTTCAGAACTATATAAACGAGGCTGAAAACTTTCATGTATACTGAAATTAGTTTTTGAGTATGTGAAGGAAATTACTTTGATTAGATGATTTTTTTTAAAAAGTTATACTGAGAATTAAACAGGATCTTGTTAATGCAAAGCAAGCGCTTACCCACCGACTACACCCCCTGCCATAATTGAATTATTTTTCTGCTTTTATGGTGGAGAGACTCCCTCCTCACCCCCTTTCCTTTTTTTTTTTTTTTTTTTGAGTCAGTATTAGATTTTTGCATTTAAGGTGAAGCAATTCTTTCAATTGATATATTTTTTTTTATTGCCCAGTTCATGGTTTCATTATATTTTATAGCTAATTGAATTGTCATCCATTTTTATTGCAGTTCGGCAAGAGCAGGAACTAAGAAATGGCGGAGCAATAGATAAAAAACTAACTACCCTTGCAGATCTATTCCGGCCACCCATTGACTTGATGCATAAAGGCAGCTTTGAAACAGTAAGTCGTTGGAGAGTCTGTGCCTTATCTGTAAATCCTTTTGCATCCCTGAAAACTGAAAGAAAAATTGTTTTCATTATACAGGGAATTGGCATCTTCTACATGACATAATTAATACTTAATTTTTTTGGTTGTTTTTTGAGACAGGATCTTGCCATGTAAGTAGACCAGGCTGGTTCGAATCCACAGCAGTCTTTCTGCCTCAGCCTTCTGAGTCCTGGGACTATGCATGTACACCACCACGCCTGGCATTGATTTATATTTCTACCAGCAATCTATAATATATTTTTTTTGTTTGTTTGGTTTGGTTTGGTTTGGTTTGGTTTGGTTTGGTTTGGTTTTTTTGAGATAGGGTCTTACTATGTAGTTGAGTCTGACCTAGAACTCACTGTGTAGCCCAGGCTGGTCTTGAACTCCAGCAATCTTCCTGCCTCAGCCTCCCGTATAATTTTATTTTTAACAGTAATGGATGGGATTGCTAGTTAGATGAAATCTTTTTTTTTTTTTTGATTATTCATATGATTTTTAATTTATTCTGTCTCTTTTTTTCTGGGATTCAAACTTAGGACCTTGCACTTGTGAGGCAGGCAATGTATGACTGAGCTAAATCCCTGGCCCTTGTTAGATGAAATCTTTTGATTAGTTTTGTGTGGTAACATTTTGGAATTTTGCCATTTTGATAGCTTTTTTAAAATCTTTGTAAATTTTATGTATTGTTTTGAGTAATTTTCCTCATTTCTGGGACTGAGTACCAGACACAGTCAACATAAAGGAGAATGGGTTTATTTGTGCCCATGTTTCAATCCACATTCCTCTGGCTCTAAGACAGGACAACATGCAGAGAAGGAGAAGCTGTTCATGGCTTGGTGTTGGGGAAGCAGAGGGACAGGATGGTATCTGTACCCTTCAAGGTCATGACCACAGTGACCACCACCTTCCGCCTAAGCCCACCCACTCCACTCAGCGAGTCAGCTATAAGCCCCCATAATCCAGTCACCCCCTAAAGACAGGAAGCTTGTGGGGGCCATTCTAGGACTAAAACATGTATTTGTGACTGCTACTGAGAGTCGGTGCTTGTTAACTATGAATCATTCATAGGTGTCTTTTACCTATAGAGTCATTTTGCCTTCCCTGCAGCTTCACTTTCCATGGTTGCATTTACCTGAGATCTAAAAGTATTAGTTGGAAAATTCCAGAGATAAACAGTTCATGTGTACTGTTGAGTAGCTGTCCTGCCCATGGCAGTGTCTTCACATGGTGACATCACCTACCCACCAGTCATGCGGTGCCATCTTCATTACCAAATAGACTTTTGCAATGTTAAAGTGTCTGTTGAAGCAACTGTTACTTTATTTAATAGGGGCCCCCAAGCTTAACAGTAGTGATGCAGGTGGTTCAGATGTACCAAAGTGAAGCCATCAAGTGTTTCCTTTAAGTGAAAAGGTGAAAGTTCTCAACAAGGAAAGCAAAAAAAAGTTGTGTGCTGAGGTTGCTAAGATCTATGGTCAAAACGAATCATCTATGAAATTGTGAAGAGAGACAAAGAAATTCTTGCTGGGTGTGGTGCTGCACACCTGTGATCCCAGCACTTTGGGAGATTCAGACAGAAAGATCACACGTTTGAGTCCAGCCTGAACAACTTAGAACTTGTCTCAAAATTAAAATAAATAAATAAATAAGGCTGGGAATGTAGCCCAGTGCTATATCCTGGGTTCAGTACTTGGTACTGAGAAAAAAAATGCACTAGTTTTGTTGTTGTGCTCAGACTGCAAAGATTATTGCCATGGTGTGTTAAGTGCTTAGTTAAGTCAGAGGGGATTTTTAAATTTGTTTAAGTACAGGGAAAAAAGTAGTATATGAAGGATATGGTATTTACAATTTCAGGCATGTGTTGCAAGTCTTGAACATATCTGTTAATAAGGGGAAATTGCCGGGTGTGGGGGCGCACACCTGTAATCCCAGCATTCGGGAGACTGAGGCAGGAGGATCACTGTGGGTTCGAGACCAGCCTAGGCTACATAGTGAGTTCCAGGTCAGTCTCAACTACATGTGGGACCCTGTCTCAAAAAAACAAAAAAGCGGGGGGGGGGATATTTCTGTGGGTCTCCTAGTGTGTTTGGGGGGGAAAAAGAAGTCTCTGAAGTGGCAGAATGCATTTTCCCTTGGTTCTGGATTTTGCTTTTTTGAGACAGGGTCTAACTGTGGATTTCAAGCTGACCTTGTACTCACAACATGGCTCAGACTGGCCTTTAACTCACAGTGATTATCCTGCCTCAGTCTCCCAAGTGCTGGGATTACAGGTGTGTGCCCCACACCTGGCTCATCTTGGTTTTATCTTGGCCAGCCCCAAAGAAAAGCTTTCCAGAGGAGATTTATTTAATTGTTAAGTTGTAAGCTTAATGAAAGCAAAGGGAATGCATTTCTTTTTATTTTGCTAATCCTTAGGCCATGGTTGCTGGCATTTAATAGGAAGGCAACATTCATTAAATAATTGAATTGAGAATTTTAGATATTCCTTGAAGGTGTTCAAAAAATTTGCTTTTATGTGCTGAATTATATGTTGCTTTTGTGTTAGCATGTTAATTCTCTTTTAAATCAGAATATTTCCACAGAACTATTACTTAAGTAACTTAAAATGACAGAAACTACTTGAATTTCAGGTTTTATATGTATGTATATAGTAGGCCAAAGAATAACTAAAAATTGTGTCAGCTACTTACTTGAAAAGAAATTCTGATTTTTTAAAAAAATGTCCATTGACATACACTAGTACAAATATATTTGGGATAATGAATTAATCTTGAAACTTGCCCTTTGACTTTAGTTTTCTGAATTGTAAAACCTGAAAATATTTGGTATTTTTTTGTTGTTATTGTTGTTGTTTTTGTGGGGGACTTGGGATAAAACTTAGAACGTCATGCTTGCCAGGGGTGCTGGGCCACTGAGCTATGTCCCCGGCCCATGTGTGGTTGTGGGACAGAGAAGTAGAATGTTGGTGTTTGACCAAAGGGTTATTTTTCTATACAGTAAGCATAGGGTTGAGGGACTTCTTGGCCTTCGTGCATCAGCTGGAGATGTCATGTTAGATGTCTCCATAGTTTTTCCATCTTTCTCCTGTGGTATTAACATGGAAGCTGCCTGTCCTACCTAGCGTTCTGGTTGAAACAGCCAGAATTTGGATGTGGGTTGGTTTGGCATGTTTTCTGTTTTTATTTTTTAATTTTTAATTTATTTTTTTGGTACCGGGGATCGAACTTAGGTCTTTGTGCTTGCAAGGCAGGCAGCGGACTGAGCTAAATCCCAGGCCCTATGTTCTGCTTTTAACTTCGGAATTGCCCTACAGTTAATGCAGTAAGTCTTGAACTTGATTTGATTTGGTCACTTTGGATAATAAAAGGCAGTTGCTTTTTGTTGATTGAGGAAAAATGTGAATTTATTTTGTACTGTCTTTTGAATTTTAAATTATATCACCTTTTTTACTTTATATTTCATCATCTGTATTGCCTGCAACAATCTAATTGCTTTGCCAGACGTAGTGGCGCACACCTGTAATCCCAGCACTTGGAAGGCTGAGGCAGGAGGATCGCTGTGAGTTTGAGACCAGCCTGGGCTACATAGTGAGTTCCAGGTCAGTCTCAACTACATAGTGAGACCCTGTCTCAAAAAACAAAGACAAAAAAACCCAAAAAACAATCTAATTGTTTTCACTTAATACTAGTAAATATAATCATTTACAAGTATTTACACCATGTAAACATTCCCAGAAAAAGTAGGCATTTCATTATAATCATGGTATATCTATTTTATAGAAATTAAGGAAGTGATATGCAAAATTAAGGCATTGAAGTTTAGAGAGGTGGATGTTAAAAATTGGAGGGACAGTGCCTGCTCAGGAAAGGCCTAGATATTTGGTTCCCATGTCAGTCATAAATTTGAGCTCCAGCTTAATATTTTTAGAAACTAGTGTAGCTAGAGATGGGTAAGTTCAGGGATTCTGCTGGCTTGTGCTAATCACAGGAAAGACTTGTTCATTCAGTGAATATCTGTTGAGGCCTTCTGTTGCAAGATCTTGTTCTAGGTGTTGGTATTATGAATACTGTTGGACTGCAAGGGAAAGAGACCAGGAAAAGAATAGTAGCTTAAATAAGATGAAAGCTTAGGCTGTTAGGATGATCTAACTCGTGTAGTTATTAGAGGTGAGGGCTTATTTCTGTCTTGTTCTGTCAGCATAAGTCTTGCTTACCTTTGTCTGTTATCTAAGGTGGCCAGTTAGCATGGAGGAGAAAGGGACTGAGCAGGGTTACCTTTGCCCAGTAAGTTGTACCTAATACTTTTGCTTGCATCACATCTGTAGAATGTGGCAACATGGCCACCCTTAACTGCAGTGGATACTCAGATACCAAATGCTTAGATAAAATTGGAGATTTTCAGAGTGAGAAAGGGAGAAGGGCCGTTTGGTACCTATAAACAGCTTTTGCCAAGGTGGTAAGCAAATTATACCAAGTCCTTGCCATTACAGAGTTTACAGTGGTAGTGAACTTAGGGCACACGTTATTTTTCTTTTAAGACAAAACAATTTAATGTTTGAGGTGTTTTTTCTAAATTAAAACCTCAATATTCAGGTTTAATTGCAATGTTGGCACTTTGTGATAAATAAGTGGGTTTTGGGTTGCCATCACTGGTCTTGTAAGAGAAACAGACTGTAAACAAATGTAATAAAAAAACCAGACCATGTAGGGCCAGGGATTTGGCTCAGTGGTTCTGCCGCCTGCCTTGCAAGCGCAAGGACCCAAATTTGATCCCCAGTAACCCACCCAAAAAACGAGACCATGTGTCATCTATGTGTTTTTGTATGCATGTATATGGTAAGATATTTCACATTACTGTAATTGTTGGGGGAAAGAAAATACAGTACGGGAGGAGAGTGAGGACTGTTCTGTTTCTTACAGGCAAATTGAAAGCAAGGTTGAGTTCATCTGTTTCACTTATGTTTGTGATTG